CAGAGGCGAGAGGGAGTGAGCGCACTGCTGGTCCTTTCACCTTCCCCTCTCAGTGCCCCCCCCCACCAGGGTGCTACTCTGTAAACAGTCTATGAGCCAGCAGAAACACTCTTTATCTGTTCCAGGAGTTCCACACCATGCCTTCATGCACTTGCCCCAGTCATCTGCGATGTCCCCCATGCCCGGAACCCACACCCGCATCTCGGCTTTTCAAGATCTTTTTCTCCTTTCAAGGCCCAGCTCAGGTGCTGCCTTCGCTGCAATAGCCCCCCTGTTTTTGTACCATATCTCACAATCCTTTCCTCCATGCGTTCCATGTCCTAGCCAAGCTTACGAGCTTACTTGCATATTATAGGCAGTGGTTGATTTATTCTTCAGATGGGATGCATTCTGGGAAGAGCTCCTTAGCCCCTTCTCTATCACCCCCTCAGTAGAGAGGGGGCCCTTGGGTCTGGGATCCTGGGGCAGGGCAGTGTCTTTCTCACGGCTCCTCTTTCTTCAGCAGCTCTGCCTTCTGACAACCTGATCCTTAATGAAAAGGAAAGCATGGCCCCTGTGCTCCTGACTGCCAGGCACCCCCAGGTGAGTGGCAGTGTGCCCTTCCAGAAATGCCAAATCACTGCTTCATACATTGTCTCCCTATTTCCATTTTCTTTAAGATGATTTTTATTGTTTCTGTGATTTTTGTCTTTGGCCCTCTCTATTTGGAGTGTATCTTTTATCCATATTTCTTTCATTAGTTACAATTTTTGTTGTGTTTTGGTCTCTAAAAGTTCACGTTTAAGATTTGTTTGAGTTGTTTCCTAACAAGTGAACAGTTTGTGTATGAGTACCGTGACAGCCGGAGAAGTTGGTGTGCTGGCAAAAAGTCCCTTGCGGAAGTCCCCTTGAGTCTATTAAATCTTTTTTTCCCCAATATTTTATTTAAACGCACAATCACCTCCTTTAACTCTCTTGTGCATTTGTCAAGTCTGACAGAGAGCTTCAGATTACCTACAGTTAGTGTCTTCTTATCTTTCTTTCACCTCCGTTATATTTTCCTTAAAGACCTTAGCTGACATAGTAAGTCAGTGCATTACAGCGATTCTCTAAAGCCAGCCTGACCATGGATGGCACTTCCCCAGTCAGTAGACTCAAGGAGCTCCCTCTTCAGAAAGCTTTTCCCATTTGGGCCCCTTCCTACCTTTCCTGTCTTCTTCCCCTTTGGCCCTGCCCACCAGCCTGTGGTCCCACCGGCCTGTGTCCTGTCATATTGGCCTGCTGGAGTTCTTCCTCACACACAGTGACCCACCCCCAATCTCTTTGACTTTTCACTCGCTGGTCTTCATCCTCAGAATATTCTCCCGTGTTCCTCAAACTGTTGGAATTCCTGGCTTCCTTCCAAAATTAGCTGAAGCGCCACCTGTTACCAGAGGCCTCAGCTGGCTCTTCCTCCCTGCCCCCTCCTGATCCACGGTTGTCCTTGATCTGGTTCGTATGCACCTTGTGTGTACATTTATGTCTGTGTGCTGCCTTCTCCGTTGGAGGGAAGGGTGGTTTAGATTTCTGTCTTCGTACCCCCCTGCTCAGCAAACTCCCTGACGTGCAGTAAATGCTCTATCAATGATTGATCCAGTTTTACTTGACCCTTCAGTGGCAGCTCCGTCACTCGTCTTACCTGAAATCAGGGTTGCACCTGCTGCTGGTTTGGATCGGGCTGATTCAGAACAGGATTAATTCCAGCCCTTCCTTCACTTGAATTTGTATGAAACCCCCCGTGCTTTATTTGGGTTTCTCTTAAGCAACAAATTGTTGGACTTTTGTTTTCTAATTCATTTTCTAATTCAGTCTTCATATTGGTAAGTTTAGCCCCTTAGCATTCAAGATGATAATTGTTAACATTAGGTTTTGTTCCTTGAGATCTTATTGTTAATTTTTTTCTTCTCTCGGTAAAAGATACTCTATTTTGCTTGTTTTTTCTTCTCTGTTTTTGCCTTGTTACATAGTTATTTGCTTATAGAAATCTTATTTGCTCCAATCTGTAATAATTTTCCCAGTGATTTCTTTGGTTGCTAGTTTCTTGTTTTGGCTTATTTTTCTACAGCTTTAGTGAGATTAACATTCTTTCCCTGTAGCATTTAAATCTAAGGCTTTTTGCCTTTTCCAGCAAGAAACGTTTTTGAAAGCCCAGCGGTAAAACTGTTGTCATTGACTCGTCTTTTGTATGGGTATCATCGCATGAGCCTGACTGTTTCTGCCTGTTGGTGATCACAACAGTTTGATCCAGTTTGGCTCCTTGGGCCTCCCTGCACAGGTTACTCATATCAAAGGGTTTTTTTGAAACTATTTTTTATTCACTTTCTCTTCCTTCCACTTCCTCCCTCCATTGAGAAAGCAAGAAAAACAAA